CGTGTGAGTAACACATGCATACGAAAATATCCCTAACATTAACTAGGAAAGCCGAAATCTTAGTTAAGATAGACATGTTACAATTAATAATCAAATTTAATAAGGAAAAGTAACAGTTGCCGGGTACATTATAATGGCTTAAGAAATTCAGAGCACAGTACAGATGCGAGTACACAAGATCACATATTTTCGGCGAAAGCAGAGACGCACATTTGTTGAAGTAGTTCCACTTGACTGCCGGGGAAAAATCTTCTCTCTCCGTCAGCCTGTAGGTTTGCCAAACGGGTTTACTGTTTCGCCAATTGGCGCTTTTCTGTACAGTTTTTAAGTCCGTATCACCTGTTTGGCGCTGCCGCTGCAGGCTCGAATGTTCTGGAAAGTACTGGTCTTGGGGGAAGATCCTGAATTGCAGAAAGTTAATTAAAGGTTGCTGGTTTGCATAGAGCAAAGCCATCCTATTTTTTATATTTTACATCTTTCTTCACTAATCTACTAATGCTTTGCTCACCCAGCCTCTTGTTTTTGAGGGTGGCTCTTGCTTGAAAATATCACATTATATTACACGGGCAGATAGCTATCTGTGCTACTGCTGCTGTATTATTATGTAAACTTATTGATTTCATCTTATAACTACAGATTTATCTAAAAAGTTCTTATATGTTCTACATTAATCAAAGTTCAATAAAAAATGAGCTGCTGAACGACTACCAATGCCTGATTTGATTAGTCTGACTTCAGATTTTTAATAACAGACTTAAAATTCTTGTGCAGAAACTGAGAAAAATATAATTTTCTCAGATTCAAAATTAAAAATATTGAAATTCTAAATTAAATAGTATTACATAAACAAGAAATTAATTTAATAAAAATCAACTGTACTAGAGCTATAAACCTAATGCCAGCAGTCCATTCCCATGCAGACAACCTACTAGCATTTCACATTCTTATACATACAGCCACTATCCAGCAAAAGCAACCATACAGAAGATAATGAAAAGTAATCACAATCCATCTTAATAGATGCATTGTAAAGTATCGAACAATCATTGGTATTCTTCATAAAAACACATAATGCTATCATAATATCAGTCCACAAAAGTGCAGAAAAGAACAGATGCTGGTATATCTTAATGATAGTATAAAAGTTAGCATAAAATTATACTGATTACCATTACTAGCACAGAAAAGTTAATTGCCCTTTTAAGCCTATTTAATATTCATGTATATTTAAAGAAAATCATGTAAATCTCATCATGCCAGCCCACTGACTGGAAGTCAAACTACTAATGTTCAGCAGTCCTATTCATACAATATTTTCATGGCTCAGAAAATCCTACCATAAAATGAAAGGCAACTATAATCCATAACCTGCTACTAGCATTTTTCATAACAATCACATACAGTCAAAAGTTGTTAATCCGGACTCGTCGGGACTTCGGCGATTTCGGATTATAGATCATCAGTTTAAATCTCGTAAGATGGCATGCAGAAATTCTAAAATTAAAAATATGAAACCGTAATTTATGAAATAAAGAACAATTATGATCTAAAGGGTATCAAAATTTACAAAAAAAAAAAAAAAGCTTAATATTTATTTGTTTACTTTATTAAACATTTCTGTCAATGTAAGTTGTTTAAGTTGCTTCATTTTATGTGATAATACTTTCTCTTTAATTCTATAAAAAGACATAATTTCTTGTTCAGTTACTAAGTTCCGCTGTTCAAGTCCCGTTAATTGCTGTGCCGAGAATACCGACTAACTTGTCAATCGAAATTTTTTCGTTTTCACTAACCTCTCTGTCACATTCTTCATGTCTTTATCCATTTTCTGCAGCAATTCCACTTTTTGTTTGTTGGACATCGAAACATACTTTCGTTTTGTAGATTCTTTGGAAGTTCCATCATCGGAAATTCTATTTGACATAATCGAAAGTTCAAGTTTACTTTTATAAAATTGCTCTTACAGTCTGCAAAAAATAATAAGCCTGATCCAATTCCAAGATTAAGGAACAACGAAATCTGCAACATTAACTGAAATAGATAATTAGATAATTTTAGCTTACACCGTCCGTTATACATTAAACGAGCTGGCGAAAACGTATTCTGCACTTGCGCACACGCATATGCGCAGTAGTCAAGGTCTTACACGCACGCGTAAAACGCCTGTACGCATGTGCCAACGCGGCGCATGCGCAGAAAGTTTTTAGCTTTGAGGTCCGGATTATAGATCATTCCGGATTATGGGTGTCCGAATTAACGACTTTTGACTGTACTAATAATTAACATAAAATCAGCTAACAAAGTTTCTATGAAAAGAGGTAATATTTTAATAAATCAAGATAAAAGGTATTATCCTGTCAACTGTGAAAGTGTCACCATGCAGAAGTCACCATGCTATTTATTCAAAAGAACAAACTGAATCAGTCATATCAGTTTCATTAATAACATTTTGAACCACTTCCTTCCTGTAATGACTCTTGAAAACAACCTGATCTAACAGCTGAAGAATGGAAGTTGTATTAGGAGGAATGAAAACTTATTTTATGTTCTTCAACAAGAGATCAGCTGGATGAGCAGCACAGTTGTCTAACAAGAGCACTATTTTTTCTTGCTGAAGTTCTTTATTCCACTTCGTAGGAAAATTACTAAAAATATTGCTTGTCATCCAAGCATTTTTATTGTTGCAATAATTCACAGGCAACAAGGGTTGTTTGCTTGCACAGATGAGTAACACAGTCTTTTCAACTATTCTGTCCATATTACATATTAACAACACAGTAACATGTTTTATCATTTTTTACAGCCAGCTGACAACTCACTTTTAAAAATTACAGTGTGCTGAGGTAGGGCTTGATAATAAAGACCAGTCTCATGAGTGTTAAAAATTTGATGCAGTTTATATTCTTTCAAAAGTCCAGCAAAATTCTTCTCTATCCAATTATCAGCTTAATTAGAATTTGTATCTTGTTTCTCTCTACATAATTCTCTAAAAATGATATTGTTGCTTCCTTTCCATCTGGTGAGCCATCCAATTGCATGGACAAACTCCTCTCCCAGCATGTTTGGCGAATTCTGTTACCTTCTGATTCAGGATTTCTCGAGACATTGTGGTGTTCCTGTTCCTGGCAGTTTGAAACCACACCATGAAGGTACTTTCTACATTAGTATATGCTCCAATTTAATGCCGCGAGACACTTGAACTTGACTTCAATTCATCCGAAATCACCTCCCTTCTTTTCAACAATGTACGTACCACATATTGTAAAATTCTGAGTTGCATAGATGCTTCACGTTGGCTACATTTTGGTAAAGTATCATATTGCTTCATCAATTCTTTATCTTTTAGTCGTTGCATTTAGGTATTTTGAGGCACGACCAAACAACAAAAGCACGATGTTCATGGGTGAAATAGACAAACTGTGTGAACAAAAAAAGCAATTTTTTATACAGATTCTCCCTCTCTTTTTTCTATGTTTCCTCTTTTCCCCAACTATTCCAATAAACCTCTTGTAACTCACCCCCACCAATGATTGGTCTAGACAAGAAATTTCTAGCATTTACAACTCCACACGTAAAAGTGAATCAACCTTGAATCAGGAGCTGATTCAGAATCAGGAGAATTCTTATCATTCTTCAGAATTAGGAGCTGATTCTGAAGTGTTGAATGTATGGATGTATGTGTTCATGTATGCATGAATGTATGCGTGTGTACACACACACATACATTCCCGAATTTGGTCCCAATAACAGAACAGTACCAAAATCAAAGACTTCAAAACACAGATGTGGGGGGTTTAACAATTCCAGATAAGAAAATTCATGCATTTTCTGATTTTTATAAACTTTAGCACTCATTTTATTAAGTAGTTATTTTATAATGATATTGTATTCATTTAAATTCATTCCCTGAGCTCTGATTTTAGTAAATGGTTGATATGATAAATTAAGCAGTGATAAAGTAATCACTTCTTTATAAAGCAGTGATTACTATTAATCACTGCTTTATAAAGAAGTGTGGTGGCACTCACTACAATATACATTTCATGACATCGTATTGCTATTACTTATACTTTTTTAACAAATAAATGCAGTAAAAAATTTTGAGTTAGTGCTAAACTAGGAACAAAATATACATTTTAAATTTTTGCTTTATTTAGTCAAAAATAAAAATATTATCAATTTTAGCAAAATTATTTACAAGTATTGAATAATTCAAGCAGTGTAAAGCGATGTTTATATATTGCTATGATCTTCATTTCACAGCAACATATAAACATCAAAGTACAAATACCACATTTAGGATACCTCAACATACAAAGTAGAAAAACGTGTGCTGCGAAAATGTAACAGCAAAATTTATTCACTTAAATTCAGATGTTGTAATAATTCATAACACAAACTACTGAACTATTTTATGCAATGACAAAACCAAAGGTGATGCAGATATTATTCATAAAATGACTAGAAAGTAATCTGAAATCCGTATCAGTATTGTGGCCAATTTATTACTTTTAAATTTTTAATTTTAACCTGTAGATCATTAGGATAACTTACAAGACTTACAAATCCTTCTTAGGAAAATCTATTACAAGGAAACCTTACTAATTAACACATAAACAGCATTTAATAATAGAAATGAGATAAGCACCAAAATAATATAACAATACCAGCGTCCAAAAAAAGTTCTCTAAGAGGGAAAAACAAATGCTACAAACAAAAAGTCACTTTTTTTTAACAACATCAAATTATAATTTTAAAGAAAGTGCTCCAGAATAGGTATAATTAAATTAAAATGAAAACTAATTATGTAGATTGCAAATTATAACACTGATCTGAAGTAACTGCTAGCATTTAAATGATACTGATATTTAATCAACTATATCTGGAAAGTTTGTCATTCTACTGTTAAATAAGGCAAAAAAATAGTCTGACACTAATTAGAACAGAGAAATAAGTTTTCGGCATTAGATGAACAGATAAATTAATAAAATAAACAATACCTGTAAATAGGAACGTACTGGTTCAGGTGGGTTAACTGAAGCACTTGTAACAACAGAATGAGAAGCTGGGGCATAAACAGTAGCTGATGAATAGGTAGCAGGAAAAAAATTTGAGTATGGTACAGTACGAGGAGCTTGGCTATAATACAATGCTGTACCTGAACCACCAATTGGTATCGAAGCCTGCTGCACATGACGTGTGCGTTCAACTTGGAATGGAGAAGCGAACATTCTCAAACTACTAGTATCAATTGGTCTAGCTATAACAACAGGTGGGGAGAATACAGGTACGGAGCTGGGTAGCAGTAATGAAGGTGTACCATCTCCAGTGTCAGTTAATACAGTTGGTGCAGAAGAATTCACTTCGTTGACTTCAGGAGATGACACATGTCGACTTAATGCTCCCTTAGATGCAGCAGAAGCAACTTCGGATAGCCAATTTAGCTGTTCATTACGAGGATTAGAACTCCCAGTCATGGCAGACTTTTCCGTACCATTCATCAGCGTCTCCAGCAATCCACATAGAAGATTTGAGGCAGGTAACAGTCTTTTACTGTTTTGGTGGAAAATAATTCGTCCGAACAAGAAACATTTAACTTTAAAGTCATCTGCTTCTTTCAGACTCAAATATGATTGACATATCAAATCTGAGATAGTTACTGAATTTTTATAGTTCTCATCATCAGAATTGTGCCTTACTGAAAGAGTACCAGTAACTGAATTATTGCCTTCTTTATGATACTGATAAAAATATAGCTTTCCACTAATATGGAAATCATTATTTTGTTCAATATAAAATGAATTGATACATTCTAACAAGCCAAGATCTCTTTTAGTACTAAAAGTACTGCACAATAATATAAATTCTTTCAGTAATATAAAACAGAAATTATAAAAGAAACTGATACTAATCCAGAATGAAAAATATAATGCCAATTCCCAGTTTTTAATTGCAAATTGGGTCCCATCATGAAACTTCAGTGTTATCTTACAAGCCAATGAGGAAACAGACAGCATATATTTTGCACAAATGCCAAATATACCTGTAAAAGAAAAGATAAAATTTTACACATGCAACAAACATAGCCCATTTAAATTATTCTAAGTCAGGCATGTCAAACTCAGTTTTTCAAGTGGCCCACAAATAATCATCAGTATACAATAGTATGGGTTGCAAGGATGGAAAAGCCATTATTATGTTTAATTGTGTATTTAAGAAGTAGGCAAATATATAAAATTTTACCTGATGTTGCAGTTCTTTAAAAAAAAAAAAAAAAAAAAATGGAAGAAATATAAGGAAAAATAGGTAATAGATGGATAAACTACTGTTTATTTTCTACTACTATAGAACTACTGTTTAGCAGAAAAAAAAAAGACTTCTGCAACCAGCTTTCTGATGTTTAAAGACATAATGCTAATATTAGTGACTTTCAGAATAGAGGTCAGCTGAATGTCTGCTAACTGGGATCTCATTGAAGACTTGTTTCCTTTTCAAAAGCGAGAAAAGTTGTTCGCACCGATACATACTACCAAACATGGAAATCGTATAAGATACAAATTTGCAGCTTTCTGGGAACTACACTAGCAATTATTTGTTAAATTCAGGGACCCCCCCCCCCATGGTTGAAAACAAGGTGAGCTCATCTTCTGATAGATTGTAGCACAGCTTTCTTCAATTTCAGTTTTCAGATGCTGAGGTTTCTCAGCACATGCTTTGTACAGTACAGAATCCCTTTTGATATAAACTCAGCTTTATATCTTTTTGGAGTGAACTGACAGCCATGTTTTTGACATGCCCACTTTAAATCGTTTAAAACTTAGCTCAAACAGTTTCAAGCTTAACTTTCTGGCTTTAAATAATAATTCTAGCATTTAATTTTCCCCAGTATTATAAAAGTACAGAATTATTATGCAGTTTGAAAAATTATATAACAAATTTCACCTTATATACATATATTTTGTTTATAATAAAAAGCCCAGTTAGTGATAATATTATAAAGCAAAAAGTGCAATGTTTCAGTTTAATTATGTTGAAATATAACCAGAGATAAATTAAAATTATTTGAAATAAATAAATTTTATATGAAAGTCATAAAGATGGCATTTTGATCATATGAATATGAACAATTAGATGAAGAAGTACAATGCACTGTATCTAGAATAATACTTTTAAATGCATATTAGAAAAACATAAAACTAAGAATTTGAAATCTTTTAAGACAATTAGCAAGTAATGACAGTGAAACTTCGGTTAATAGCAGTAACTAACCACTCATAATTTTCAAAATATTCTTTACAAAACAATACATTTGTATTAGAAATTAAAAATTAGAGATACTTTCTAGAATATATTTAAATAACTCCAAATAATTAATTTTGTATATCATTACATCCGTTTTAAAATTTTAAGAAATGCATGTTTCAAAATTATTACTACATGTATGTAAATTGCTTTAGTTTTCAAATTTTCATCTCTTTTAAATGTAATATTCAAGAATAGAAATTTATGCCTCAAGCAATTGTTTGCTTTGTTTAAATATGTTAATGTCAATATGGAATACATTATTCAACTTTTTTGAATTATTAACTATTTGTTTACATTGAGGAAATCAAAATTAAACTTTTAAATGAGATTTTTTTTAAAATTTATTCTAACACCCAAAATTTAACTAAACAATTTCATCCAATTAACAATGAATACACTCGTGTTTATGCTCTTGTTCATATGGGACATTATGCCATGATGATACAACAGTTTGGAAGCAGTGAATTGAATGGAATCAAACTATGCCAAAATTCTGGCAGAATACTATGAAATGTGATGTACCATATAACTGTTTTAATTAGACCTATATTGTTACCAAAAGTAGATGGTGCTGCTTTGCAGTGAAATAAATGTAAAAAGGTAAAGTTTGGTTTATGGTATGTGTTGGCTGGTGAGCATTATGTAATGTAATTAGGTAAATTAACTGTGCTCAGGTTAATTATGACACATAAAATTAGAGAAGAATGGTCTACCACATAATAGGACTATGTAAACAAAACAATGTACATACAAAATCATACAACAGGTATGTCATGTACATGGCAGTGATAAAACGTGCAGCTCCTTTTCAACTGATAGCACAGAATAAGAGCAGTACTACTACAGGTATGGAACCCAAATTCAGCAAAATTTACTACCAGATATTCTGTTACTACTCTTCAATTTCACACATGATATTAGAAGATGATATTAGATATATAATATCCTGACATGCCTTATACATCAGTCATTTAGAAAAATGTCTGAAGATCCAGTAGACTAAAGGGCAGTATTAACTCCCCATACACATTCTCTGAAAATGTTCAATATGTGTAAATGGACTTAGACTTGCTGAAAGGTGGCCCTAACAGATTAGCAAACAGGTCACAGAATGTTGTTGATTATAGCTGATCCATTAAAGAGCCACAAAGGATCCCTAAAAGTAACTGGATATCATAGGTAACAGTTTCCCAGATGGGAATATCAAAAATTATGGATATATGCTGCTCAACAATAACATGAAGCAAGCAGTATTAGCAGGATTACTCCATATAAAAATTATAAATTTATCCGAATTAAGTGAAAACACGATCAAACAATGAATGATACTCACATCTTTCAGTAATGATCTGGACCAAGACAAGTAGTGTAATAGAGCACATTTTACTTGTTGGAATACATAAAGAAATGCAGTCTAATTAAAACATCTGCTGGGATGAACTGGTGGGACGTTCTCTCTAAGAAATCCAACTTTAGAAGATGAGATATGATACGAACATAAGAAGTACAAATTTTTGCAGTAAAATTATCGCCAGGATGGCTGATTTTGGAAATGATAAAACATTTGAATCATTTGCCATTAAACAGCAACCTGTAATTTTTTTTTTTTTTTTTTTTTTTTTTTTTTTTCCAAAAAAAGAATGACTGCTTGAAACTGCAATTATGACAATTCAGAATTCTAAAATAACTATAGGTAAGATGCTAGCCATGTTGAATTAGTGTTTTGTTTATTTGTATTTTGTTTGTTTTGGTCCATTAAAATGCCTTGCTAAATCAAGAAGCCTCGTAGATTTACCTTCTACTGCTCACATGAACACTACATGAATTACAAACAACCCACCCAAACAGATGCAGCATTTTCATTCCTATGAAATTTTTGGATGACTGAAATAAACCACTCTAAATGCATACTGTGGATCTACTCATGGACATCCTCCTTCAGTTCCCTGCTGATAAAATCACTGATAAGTGATTTCCCTTCTTATCAAAGAATGCCTAAACCAGTGCAACAATTTCTGGCACATTATCACATGGTATTCTTTCTACAGGTCAACGAGTGTGTGAGACACCCACTGAGCACAACTTTTATGCATTTTCAAATCTTAATGCATAATCATGCATAGAGTTCCTCTGCCAATACCTATTTCACATTGAATCTCATCAAAGAAATTGTTTTGATCTGCTGCAGTGCAGCATGCATCAGATTTATCAGTGTTTATCCCCTTCACTACGCTTTCACTATCCATACTGAAGTTCTACAGAGCTCTGTGCAGGGAGCTTCCTCACCACATATAACCATCAGACTTTTGTGCTGCTGCCTGTTCGTCTTTCCAAAGAAACCATGCAGTCCACTTTTGACTATTTTCATCATCCTCCACTACACCACATATACACTTGTCATGGTCTTCTGCTCTGAACTTCACATTATGACTCATTACCTCTATTGTACTGGAACTACACAAAGTACCTTGCAGCAGAATGTTGAACTCGCAACCACCAACTGAAACAAACATCACCATTACATTCAGCTGTTTGTTACACTGGAATAGCTTATTTCAATGATCATACAAATAATTTTTAAAGCACTAAATTTGTCTCCAATCCATTACATACTGAACTTCATAGCTGCTTCACTGAAGTAAGTATTGCTGTTGATGGGCAGGATTTAATTGTAAGTATTCAAATTAATGTCAAAAACAGCAATTCAAAGATTCAAGAAATTCAAGAATTCTGGCAGAGTCCAGCCTCTGCCAGAATTCTTGAAATATGATTTATAACTCTACATGTTTAGATGCGTGAATAAGCAATTTTAAATGACAGATAGCTGTGCTGTCAGTACAATTATGCCAACTCAGTACAATATACCACTGAGAAGCTGTCATCCTAGGTCTCCTGCTATCTTTTTGACAGCAGATGCTCTTTTGATATCACTGGCAACATCACGATCTGATTGTATTATTGCTCAAACCTCATAATGAACAAATGGTTCACTTTCCGAAAATGATGATGCTCAGTCAAGCTTATACAAATAGCTACACTATTAACACATACATCTTCACGATACTCTCATATGCTAACATTACAATATAAGCAGTTCAAATCAATACAGAGTGGGGCAAACTAAGTAATATATGGTTTAGGATATGTGCTTTCCATATGCTTTAGACCTACTCCATAAATTTACAGACTGCACATTTTTATCATTTGGACCCTTGGTCGAGAGGACTGGATTTCTTTTTAGTCCAAAGGAATTTGAGTCCCGAAAGACTATTACCGTTTTAGCATTTTGCGTCGGACTCCTATAAATGTTGGTTCACTTTTCAAACTGTTGCCATAAAATGTTAGAATCTTGCATTATATTTGAAGAAATTAAATAATGAAAAATCTGCATTAATGTATATTTCTCGCATTGTGATAAAACAACGGTATCTTGAGCCATCCAATTTTGAATGATGTAATCCTACAGCGAATATGGGCATCTAAAATCCCAAATTTGAAATTTGTTTTATTATCTGTTATATTATTAATAAATAAAGGTAACACACAAAACGTTAAAAAAAAAACGCCCCTTCAGATGTAATTTAAAATCTGAAGCTTTTCAGATTTTGTTCCCCCTTTTGATATATGCTAACACAAGTGATCTTTGACATGAAATTTTTAACTCCTGTTGAGATCATGTACAATTCTACTCAAGATGAAAGAGAAAATAACAAAAATGAAAGCAATTGCTATAATAATGATCCAGATCCATAACAGTACTGAAGGCCTACATGATTTGAGAAGGATTATTAAGTTGGTTTGCAACCATGGTACATGTGAAAATCGTGAGTAGACACGTTTCCCCTTGATTTCCATATGAATCCCACTCTTTTTCTGTGCAAAGTAAAACTATCTTACTCTTCCTTATTTTGATAACAGATGGCTTTATAGGGTATCTTTGAAATTTTATTCCTAAAAAGAATTTGGAAAATGACCACATGTAAAAGAAGTTAAAATATTTCAAAAAAATTACAAGTTTATAATTAAGATATGTAGACACAGAACTGTTTTTTAAATGTTATATATTTTATATGGTTCAAAGATAACAAAATGTCATTATGACCCTTAAGATGTTGGTCTGGAATAAATTTTGCATTTGCATTTCTTTTATCTTCTAGTTTAAATAAAAGCAATTGACAAATTTTTATACTTTTTTCAAATAAAAGACTGGATTATTTATTACGTACTAATGGAGAATTATATTACATATGGAAGAAAATTAAAAACTTCACAAAAGCAAACCGAAGGGAAAAAAGTACAAGTATTCAGTAGTTTTTTTTTTTTAATCTGTTCAGCTTGGCAAGTACATTTTTAATATAAAAATTTTAAATGTGGAAAGAAACCTTAAATATTTTTTCAAAGACATACAAAAATAAACTCTCATAAGATAAAAATTATTATTATTTTTAAGAAATATACCTTCAATATAAAAATTATATGAAATAATCAATTCAACAAATCAATGCAAATCATATGAAAATATATTTCCATGGAAGTTGCAAATAACAGTTTCTTTTAACAATGCGAGCTTTTTTTTTCTATTCATTTTATATTTCTTATACTTTTACAAGTGCTTAGAATCTGACTTGCACAAGACCCATATTGTGAATTTTCTTCACCGGATATTCAGTCAAGGATAAATTTAATTAGCTTGATCTAAGTTCTAATATTAGTTTTCAACAATGCAAATTAATTCTAAGAAACAATAAACCTAAAATTAAAAGTAGAACTAATACAAACAAAAAATTTCAGCCTTCTACAAACAAAAAAAATTTTATCATTATCAAGCCTAATAAACTATAACACTAATCCCAGCCTGATGTTAACCCTCTGAGCGGCCAGGGTTTTAACGCTAATTAGGGTTTTCGCTAAGAAAGCACAAATTTCTCAAAACTACTACGAGAGCAAATTATTTTTTTAATTTTAATGTAAAAACTTTCCTGGTATTTCATACATGGATTTGTGTACTTTTGATATATTGCTTTCATTTGACATAGTTTAATATGCATGTATATGTACGTTCTTACAGATATCACAAAAAAATATTCTAGGCTGTATATATACGGCCTTGCCGCTTAGAGGGTTAAGCTGCACCACAGTATATGATTTTTGCTCTATTACTTATAACCCATATTAGATAATGCCACATATGATGTGATGCAAAGAAATAAATTCTTTCCTCACACTATTTTACTCTGAAATATAAACAGTAATGCAGCACACAGTTTAGATCTATGTTACTAAAAATCTGATTGATCAGAAATAATATTATGGTTGATAGAAATCAACAAGGAAAAACATACAGCATATTCATTCCAGTTACACAATTTACTAAACACACTGCCTTTTATCATCATTGGAATGCAATAATCTTAAGTATCCTACTGGATTCTAGAAAACAAAGCTATATTAAAAAATAATGCTGCAAGTTATATTCTTAAGATAAAAGTAGCAGTACATCTAGAACAGTGCACAAAGATTAAACTGTTACTATTAACTCTAAGACATGACTGCTATATCTGCAATAAAAGTAGTATAAAATTAGGGTAAATTGAATTACAATAATGTATTAGTAATAGTATTGCAAAATTAAACTAAAAATAACATATTAATAACAATATTCTAAAATTGAATTTGCAATATAAAATTTACTTCTTCATACTTAACTTTACTTACAAAATAAAGTTTCTTTCAATTTATTTAATTTTGAATACATTTGCACAATATTTTTTAAATTAAATGCAACTTTTACAATTACTAAATCATTAATTAACATATTTTAAATAAATGAATTTTATTAAAAATAAATAAATGTTTTTTATTCAAAAAATAAAATCTTCCAATATTATACAAAATTTCTACACATGGATGGATTTAACACTTAAGAATGCATAATATGAATTTAGTATACTTAAAATTAAATTTTTCTACCACAATTACATTTTTCAAACATAAAATATGGCAATATAGTAGGAGATTGAGGTGAAAATTTACAATTTAATTCTACAGAGTTTCCAACAAAATAAAACTTCTTTCAATTTATACAATTTCAAATATATTTATACCGTATTTCTGCAATTAAACAAAACATTATACAGTTAACATATTTAATGAAATATACAGAAAATTAAATATGCTTGAAAAACTATTTTAAAGTTGTATTAGGAAATTATGCATATTACGATATAACTTTAATATTTAACATGCTGCATTTAGATATGCAGATGTTAAAGGTAATAAAAATCATAATAATAAGTTAAATTTTTAGACGGCGATATGTAAAAACGAAATCAAGCAATGTTTCAATTCGATCATAACCGAAAAAAAAGTATTACTTCACATGTGAAAATTTCGGTTATGGAATGCACTCCAAAACTTGTCACATGTGCAGTTTCCTTAAATGTATTACAGCATTTTAAAACACCATAGTTTTAAGAGGGATGCAAACTTCAAAGCATGCAAACTTCGATAAAAGCTAAAAAATTACAGAAAATTTCGTCATATCAATTTACATACATACTTGCTTTCTTTGCAATTCGTTTATTGCATAACCAGTTACTAAGAATTTGCTACCGATAAAACAAAGCATGACATCACGTTTAGCTGAATGCAATGTTTAAACTGACAGGTACCGACCGCATAGCAACATCCGCGACATCATATACAAGTTGCAGCAAGGAGTTAACGATATTAACATAGTTGCCTCGGGCACTGTAACAGACTGGCCTTGTTTTAGCAAAGGTCCCACTGTTGTACTACTATTTCATTTAACAATCTAACCACAAAAGAAAAACATGCTTCTCTTCCCTCTTCAGAGCGATGATAATCCAATGACCCGGACATTAGATTTCTTTTAATTTGTTACTTATTTTCTGTTGGAGAAATGTCTTTGCCTGCAACTCAGCAACTTAAAATTGCCGACTGTTTAGTGTATAGTAGTGCCATCTACTGCATTTTATGTCTACTAACATTTCTGAACTGTATTAAATATCAAGTGTACTTGCAAACATCTTTTCGATTCCTAAAAAAACGAGTAAGATATTTTCTAATTTACTCCTTAGCTATATGAAAATATACTTTTACACGGCATTTTATCTTCTGCTATAGTTAATTTACGGCGTCGAAAGGGACTCGAAGACTCTAGTTGAGTTATTTTTCTCGACTTCTTTTCAGTGGTTCGACACAGGTGCAGCCACAAACCAAACTGCTTGCGGTATTTTCGTGGTTTGCCTATGTGTAACGTAGCTAGAAGTCTTAATTTCTAAAATTAAAAGGCTTGAATTATACAGAAAGCTGCAAAAAAAAACACCAGAAAAAAAAAGGGGTGATTTAAAAATTTTAAAGTATTAAAATTATAATATTTAAAATTAAATAAATGAATAAAACAAAAGTAAAAAAAGGGGGGTCTGAAAGTGTTCTGATTTTAACAATCGCCCAAACGGGCTGTTTTAAAGTTTATTACGGTTTATCAGTAGAGATTATCGATAAAGATGGCTCAGGTGGAATAGTGAAAGATTTTATAGGGTATTATAGGAATATAAATTTAGACTAACATGAAAACGTGGTGTATCTTCTGTATGTTTAAAAAGTGAAAAAATATGTAAAGTAATTCTATAAAAATATTCAATGTTTTTTATTAGATATATCATGAATTAAATTCACTTTTATCATTTAAATCCATCCAATTCAAAAGTAAGAAACGAATATTGTTAAGAACTGCGTTTAGAGCTGTTTGTTAATCTACAACAGATGGATTAAATATGAAAAAATAATCTTCCATTTTTTTCAAATGATTTCACTGAAATCTTTACGCATAAGGCTTTTATTTAATAATAAATATTTCATTAGTAGCAATGCTTTATATTTTGCCAGGGATGAGAAATCTTCGACATCAAACAACTTTATGTTTCCCTTAAGGTCTTAAATAAATGCAACAGTAAATCCTCAGTAATTAAAGTATTAATATAAGAAAAATAAATTTCAATAACTTTAATGCAATCAAATTTCCTTTCAAATGTGGGAACTCGACTTACATTACAAATATATAGGATGTTTCTAGAGTTTCTCATTCACTAGTTTCTAATAGTGCGACGGGAACCAGGAACAATCCTAGCGGGAGGCAAGATGGTGCCACAGCACGTGGGAAGCCAAATTTAAGGGCGGCGAAATGATTATCAAACGTATTAGATTCCTGTAAAAAAGGGCGGCCCACAGTCTAGGATCGGCATTGTTGGGGATCACTCCATCCTTTCTGAGGTTTACGTTGCTCAGTCGCCGCTACTTTAGCAACGGTGAGCTATCCCGACTGCCATAGCTATAGCCGTAGCAGGTGTCAGCTACGTTTACATTTGGGGTTGAAACCAAAGATCATCTTCCATCGAAACAGCCTTAAGGTCGTAGCCAATCACGGAGAGTTAGGCATACGTAAATGTGCTACTGACTCAGCCAATCACTGACCAGATATCAGCAGTTTGCTTCGCTGTGATTGTTCGGTTCTTATACCAGGACGGCATAAAGTTGAAGCGTTTGAACATCTAGACAAAATTCCTTATGCAAATTTCCGTTACGTGGCTCTGAGTGGTTGCCTAGCATTGAAGGTTCACTTACGCTGTTACCATACAGCAGTTGTTTGAATGCTACCTTAGAAGTGTCTTGAATGTTATCTAAAAGCTTTGACTGAAAAGTGATAAACATTTTTAGATATTTTTTGCACTTGCACTGCATCAAATTATTAATTAAAACTCATTATGCAATATAGAAACAGATTGGCAACGATTAGAGATTTCTTAAAAATGGTCCTAAAATAAACTGCGCAGATTCCTACCACAGCATGCGCTGTTGATATACACCATATCCACGAAAGTTCTTACATGGCTTTTATTTTTGCAACCGCTGGTTGTAGACATATACTTCCAAAAACAAAATTGTTGTAAATGACACAAATATTGGGCACTTTAAAATTGCTCCCAGCCAGTGACGTACCTAGGCTGGGGGAAGGAGCAACATCCAAGGGACGCCAAATTGATATTCAGAAATTTTAGAATGAAATGTTTTCCATTCTTGACACGCAGAAGGAGAAGCAAAATCAGTGGTCCCCGGGGGCTGAAAATCCTAGCTACGCCTCTGCTTCCAGCCTAAGCAAAAAGGTCTCTTTCATTCTGCTCAAGGATTCAGGATAGTTCAGGTGCACTGCCAAATCTTTCTACGCTGAAGTTTTGCAGAGATTACTTAAAAATTAGAATCATTGTATAAATGTAGTTGCTGTTGATTGCACATACCTTAAGTAAAGCTTTCTTCTTTCTATATGCAACACTATAATAGCCGGCTGACGCCAAATAATGTTTTCCGACTTTATTCAGTTAATAGACTCTTACTTTTAGACAAAACAACTTTTTTTGTGTTTGTTTGATTGGAATATATATGTAATATATTCAGGCTCAGAAGCAATGACCAGGAAATTGGGGCGAATGCAGATTAAATCTTCAGTTTTATTTTCAGCAACATTTTGCGACTACGCACAAGTCGGCACATTAAATGTGCCCGTTCCAAAGGGCTTAAATTTTTTATAACTTTGTAGCAAGAAAGCAGCAGCAGACCGACAACAGTGCAGCTAGGCCAAAGGGTGGAAAGCAAATGCGTTATTTTCAGGGTGAAATCTTATTCAGACTGAGCCAGACTGAGTTAGTTTGGGTTCTCAATACATTCTGATTGAACAGTTAATATTGCTGTAAAATTACTATTGGCTGGTTGAGTTTTAGTTCCATTTACATCATCATAATTACGTAAGAATCATATGACATAGATTTTTCTCGAAATGACGCAGTGCAGAGAGGGGTTACTATTTTTAGAATTGAGAAGGGAAATTTAAGTTGTTAATTTAATCTTTTATATATTCTTTATTTTGCTTACATATATATATATGTATATGTTCTACATAATGTTTTGCAATTCGTAAACAAAATATGAAATTATGCACTGGCGTGCGTTAGAATACCGAAATTTAAAAATTTAACAAATTACTTTTTTAATATCCACACTATCAGCAATTAATTTTTTTAACATTATGTATTTCTAAATAAGCATGTGCAGGTTTTTTGTATACTGCTTTATGTCCTATAATTTCAATGTTTTATCAAAAATTTTCTTTATGTTTTCAATAATTTTGCAATTTGCACTTAATGAGCTTTAAATGGATTTTTTTTTTGGGGGGGGGAGCACACAATTGACTCTACACTCTTAAAAAGATTAGGCTGTGTTAGGTTATTTGAATATAACAAAACACATGAGGATTATTTGCTTAAAGGAGCCTTTGTGGAGTACTTTCTTGTGATAAACTGGCTCGCAAGTTACACGTAAGTATACAAAATATTTTTAGTACCAAAGGCAAACTTCCTCTTCAGGTTTGCGATGTTTTAAGAATTATTTCCTTCCGACAGCCTTAGGGCAAGAAAATTTCGACTTGCCAAACATTGCAGTCTGTTTTCGAACTTAATTTCAGTCAAATTCATCATGCCTTAATTATTACATAGCAAATTACGCGTAATTATTTAAACTCAAACTGCTGTCCTTATTTTGTAAATATTTCCTTTTTCTTTTCTTTCCGGCCTTCAAAGCTGCAAATTACTTTTTCTTTTTCCTTCCTTTCCTTTCTTTTTTCTTTTCTTTCTTATTCCTTCTCCTCCCCCAAGTTACAAATAACTTTGTTTTAACTTACAGTCAAGCTGATGGCCAAACTTTTAAAAATTAAAGAGACATTGGATTAGACGTCACTGAAACAGAATTTACGCCAGCGAATATTATACTGTGCAGAGAAAGACTGATGTCTGAAATCAGGGGCATAGCTACAGTTTCTAGCGCCTGGGGACAACTGAAGAATTTGCGCCCCTTTCTGTGTGCCAGAAATGGAAAATATTTTACTAAAAAATTTCGTAGCATCAATTTGGCGACCTTTGGATGCTGCGCTCGGGGACAGATGTCCCCCCTTGCCTCACCCTAGCTACGCCACTGTCTGAAATCTAAAATATATTTAAGTATTAACATTAAGCCTACGCAAAATTAAGGTTGATGAAGTAATAAAAACTATCCTCGTCTCATTAACTGGGCAACTAGCTCTGAAATTTAATTATATAACACATCTGAAACTAAATTAACACGTTTCATCAAATAATGAATCTGAGAGGGAGGAAATCCAAGCCATTATCATATAACACGGGATTATGAAAGAAAAGTGGTAGAATTCTGGCGCAGTATAAGATTTTTGAAAAAAAATGAAACGAAATGTAGCTTGCGGTGTGTCCAAAATAAATTTAATTAGGTGATAAATTTACAACATTCTTTCTATTAGGAGAAACGGTTCCAAATGTTTGGTGATACCAAAAAATTTTTAAAGAACGCAATCCCATTCAGTTCGCTAATTGCAGATGGTGTAAAACATTTTACTGCTTTGGTCATTTTTCTACTGCAGCTTATCTATATCATGCAATAACAGGGGGAAAAGATCTCATTACCAAGAAAAAAGTAATGTAGAGTAAGGGAATTTCGGCGATACATTTTTTTAGGTAACATATTTAATTGATTAAATTTTCAAAATCACAGGCTAATGCAAAAGCGAAAAGAGCCATTTCAAATGCGAAATGCTGGTAAATTAATAACTGGTGTAACCGCCAGAATTTTTAATGCAACCATGCAAACGTGCATGCACTGTGTCGTACAGCTGCCGGATATCAGTTTATGGGATGGAGTTCCATGCCTGTTGCACTTGGTCAACACATGGACGGTTAATGCTGTTGTGGATGACGCTGGAGTTGTTGTCCAATGATGTATCATACATGCTCGACTGGAGAAAGATCTGGTGATCTGGCAAATAAAGGCAATTTGTCGACTCTCTGTACAGCATGTAGAATTACAATAGCGGTATGAATACAAGCGTTATCCTGTTGGAAAACACGCCCAAACGGCTTCAAGTGAGTAAGCTCGTACGGTGTTCTCTCAGTTCTCTGAGCTAAACGGAAAAC